CATATTAGAGGAAGAAACAGGAGTTAGGAGGGGTAGAGGTAGACCTAGATTAGATTACTGTTCGCAAATAGTTAAGGATGTGGGCTGTTCTAGTTTTAGGGAAATGCGAAGTTTGGCTCAGGATAGGAAAGAGTTGAGGTACGTGTCCAACCAGTCTTAGGACTGATGACCTTATGATGATGATGATGAGTGAATAATAATTGAGTAACTTATATGCAGATGTTTTATAAATTGGATTAGTTGATTAATAGTTATTTTAGGTAAATATAGTGTTTATTATTGATTTTTTTCATCATGCAATAGGTACACTTACAATGCTGAATTAAAAAACATAAAACTTTATTTAAACAGTTTGAAAATTTTGTAGCTGAAAAACAAATAACTTCGATTGCTCAAATTTAATGATTAAGGGAAAATTTTCTTGTCTCGCAGATAATTTAGTCAGAGAATTTTAATTTTTTATTACGCACATTTTATTACTTCCTGTTACAGAATAGCATTCCTTAATTTAATTGTAATAGCTTATTTTCGAATTATCGCTTGTATATTGTTTGAGGGAAGTGAATTTTAATTATGTCCCATAATTTAAAACACGTCATGAGAACATTGTAGTTTTCATCATTTTCGTGTGAGAATTGCAAGTAATTAAACTTTTGAAACGATAAAGTATTGTTTTCTTCATTTGTCTTGTTCGCACATTTTATTGTTTCTTCCTTCAATTTTTTTTGTACGACCAAAAGCAGTTCATCTTCGGTTTACACATACAATAATTATTGCAGTTATACGAGATCATGCACTTCAATGTTATTCTGTAACCATTCTGAGAAATATTCACTGCTCGTAGGACATTATCTTTAATTAAAGCAGCAGGTAATTGATTAACAAAAAAAAGGGCATCAATGGACTATGTCTCTATATGGTCTGACTAGTGGTCTATTTTAAGGCATACCCGTCGCAATTACCAATACTTTAACTGAAGATACCATCTTCACTACCATACGTAAGCTAGTGAGTAGGTTGAGGTGTTCAATTGCTTTTCTTCCCACAAGTAATTACATCATTACGATCATTGCTACGAGTCTTGCGAACCAGGATCGGTGGCACAGGTAGTTATGAAACAGATGATGACGGAAACAAAAGACGGAACGTTTAAACAAGTGACTAAGCGAATAATTGCCGATTTTTTTTCTTTTGTTAACGCTACCTGTTATTAAATGGTTCGATTTCTTTTATTTTTTATTACGTATAGGCAATAGTGATTATGAAAGTATTTTACGCCTAATATGAGCGTTTAATTACTATTTTTCTACATTGATTATCATGAAAATAGGTGGTAGAACTCGGGTCCTTATGGTTCCGGGTTCCGTACTGTTATATTGTATCATATTAGTCTTTTTGTTGTTTCTTACTATTAAGTTAAAAGTTTGATTTTTATTAACCGTTTATGATGGGGCTACAGATCTTAACATTTGACATTAAGTTTTATTGGATATCCTTGATAATGAGTCCTTATGCTATTAATATCATAATACCACTTTTAGGATTAAAATGGTTTCAAATCTTATTCTATCATTCCTAAAATTACACTTTTAAATCCTCGTCGCGTAAAGCATAAGTAATTAAACCTTGATATGCAGCGGATTTTGAAAGTGACAGTATTTTTTATTTATTTATTTTTGGCAAAATAAATGCGATAAGTCAATGCTGTATTAACTTGCATTCACTTCAATAAATAACAAATATTTCTTTTGGGCTTCCGGCATGTCTGTCGTGGGTTTCAGACAGTATTTTTTAATGTTAATTTCGATGACTAAATCCATTCATATCATCACACTTAAATTCCTATTTCACTTTTTACTTTTAATGAATAACCCTGAACAAACTCTTCAGTACCACCAAATTTTCAACAAATTTGTTGTATGTATCTATCACGTTAAAATGAACGATATGTATACATATATTTAATAATATGTTTTAGTTTACAGAAAGCGGAAAATCATAAAAAGGTCATAATCTACAATTATACAATTTTTTGGCTGAATTCCAAACAGCGAGCATAGCTAGTCGACAATAAAATTAGAAAATCAATCTACCTAATGTGAAATAGTTTGCATTAATTTCTCTTTTCTTATGAAAATTGCGGGCAAATAAATTGAAATTATAAATTGCAACATTTTCAAACTCGTGCCGATATAGCAATTTCTTTTTATCCCGGTCGATATGGCGTCACAGTTACTTAACAGTTACCTCATATACAATAAGCGCAAAACGCGTGCGCTTTTATGCCATAAAAACGTAAAGGCGAGAAATAATACAATAGTTTACCGTGAACATTAATATACGATAATGAATAATAGAGGAACGCCATAAAGCGATGACACACCGGCCGCAGGTACAATAAACCTACGGCGTCCAAAATAGACTCTACACTCCGCTCCGTTACAACTGTAAAATCGTCGATGTGCTCGTAGCTATCGTATAATATCGTGGTTGGCGAATGGATGTAAGTAACAATTGCGCATCACGTCGCGAAGATTCGCCCGCTATCGCGTGATTTGTTGATTCGCGCGAGCGAGAGCGAACATTCAACCGAAGACAGCAGAAAATATATTTATCGTGTTTTGCATACGGTTATTTCCTTTTAAAAAATTGCAAATAAACGATTAAAAGTTGAGGTTTAGGTTCCTCTCTGTATGTTCACACACAGGTCAAAAAGCAGCGGGTGTCATTCGTCTTTCTTTCTTTTTTTTTTTGTTTTGTTTTATTGTTCTTTTTTTTTTCTTTGTAAGTGCACTTTTACTGAACATAAATAAGGAGTAGGCTGTTGAGAAAGAGATGCGCGAATGTTTCGGCGCATGCGAATGAGCTCGAAATCCGCGTGGTGAGCAGTGACCTTTAGAGTAAATAAAAGCACGTATCATTGGGCTTGGAGATGACCTCGCGATTCGAAACGCCCTTGAAAGTGCAACATCCTACGAATTGCGGGTAGCGCCCTCGAGGCAAGGCCGTTCGTTTTCTTGCCAAAACACTCCCTTCTTGTTGCATTTTTTTGACCATTAATTTAACTGTTGCGAACTGCTTGCTGCGAATGACATCATACGAAAAAACAAACGCATTCTTCGCCTGACGGTCTCGCATGAGCGGGGATTGAATTTTAATAGAATTTTATTATATTGGCAGTGTGCGCTATAAAAAGCGCATTTTATGAGCCTACACGCGATGCAGTGGCTTTTATCATAATTAGCAGATACATTTACATGGTAATAAACGTGGCAATAACTGCGATATTAATTTATAATTGCCTTTAACATACCTAACGCAACTTGGAATAAGGTATTCCAAGTTTATTACACTATCAAGGTATGGGCGAGATAGATCATGATAATACTTTTCAAAGTGATTTAACTCAAAATTTCAGCCAAAATGTAGTCAATATTATAATTTAAGTTAGATTCCTGTCCGTTACTATTAAATTATATAGTTTTTTCCAGGACGGCGGTCAAATAATTACATGTAATTATTGTAACGTTTCGGTTTATTGAACCATCTTCAGACTTTTGGATTGTTACAGTATGCAGTTGTTCAACATGATAGAAAGTTTAAAAATTAGTTAATATCTGTGTATAAGCAATAACACTCTAAAAGTCTGATGATGGTTAAATAAACCGAAACGTTACAGTAAACATATAGTTGTGTAATTATTTAACCGCCGCCCTGGAAAAACTACATAAATCAANGAATATGTATTATTTTCTTATAATATCTGCTACTACTTGATCTTTAAGTTAAGTACATATTATGCTTATTTTCTTAATTAATTTATTTACTGCTTATTACATTATGAAATGAAATGATGATGATGAAAGTAATTAAAACGTTAAAATTTTTATAATAAAAGTACAATTTTATTATACATATTTTTATCCTTAATAAAATTATACTACTCAGGCAGTAGTAGGTTTCTTTAAGTATTCTACAGTTTTTATATTATGTACTTAGAGATGACTGGCTGAGTGGTTTTAATATATTTCCTTTTAACGACAGATGCCGCCACCAGGTATGTTGAAAACTTAAATGTGATGTATTATTAAAAAAATGCGCAGAATCGTGATATAATAGAATTTCAATTTGATTGAAATGAGAATATTATGTTGTTAAGAAAGCAATATAAAAGATGAACAAGAGAAACTCTCATAATTTCTCAACTTATTAACTAATTCTCATTTTATTCTACCCAAAAAAGCTGGGAACTCCTAAAGGTGAAAAAGCAACAAAAAGTTGCAGTGTTTAAGGAATGACCTCCACGAAGTTATAATAATAAAACGTTTTTAAAACTATATTACATATTTATACATCGTTTATTGTATGAAATATCACAATTTTTATTCATCATTAAATAAAAAAATTAATTTGAGCTTATATACATAAAAGTCTTATAAAAAGTAAAAATGGTAAATACTTAAATATCTGATGTCTCCATCTTTCGTTTTTTAATTGCTATCGATTCGTCTACAAGAAAATGAGTATTTTTAGGAAAGTAAAAATATTCCTTCGTTCGTGGCAGTGGTTTTTTTACATGTCCTTAGTCAATTTTTAAACAACAGTTATTTTACAACTGCAATTATATCTCACGTCAGGAATTTTATTAGGTATCTATTTTCTAATGATAATTTAATAGCCAGTGACCTACAGTAGCAGTCGTCATTTTTTAAAATAAATAAATTTTCTACAGCCTATTACTCAATCCTTTCCAATTAGCATTGTTTCTTGTATGCATTGGTAAGGATGTCCTTTTAGATGATGAATCGTCTTCTTCGAACGCCCTGTTCACGTGACCGTTTTCAAAAACGTCTTGTAATGGTATACTTGCGGTACTGTTTCTGTGACTTCTCAATACGTTGTTGTTTCCGTATTCATTCTTTGCCCCCAATGTCTGCATTTGCGATTTCTTCCTCTCAGCCATGACAGAATTGATCCTTACCTCCAACGCTTTCATCGTCTCACGTCCCATGGTCAGTTTTCGGCTCAGAACAGGCGTACCTTTAATATGAAACGGGGTTTAATGAGAAAATAGAAATTAAATCGGAAAAATATGATTGGTTGGTGAAGAAAGAAAAAAATGCTTGTGTGTGCGTAATTAATTTAAAATGAAACGAAAGTTTTATATAAGGTCCGTACTTATGTCGACGGTGAAAATTTTATAAGGTAAAAACTAGGAAATCAGCAAAAAAACACGTGTCTATCTTAGTAGTGGATGGGGTACCATACATGCAAGTACAT